AGAAATACAAGGCGGGTGATGACCTAGCTTACCAGTCCAATACACACCAGAGCTCTCCCATTTTGTTCTGTAGAGCGGTGCCTGTAAGACCATACCTCCGGTTTGTATTCATGTCCTTCAACGCCTGGGTGATGAGGGCGCTAGGCTCCTGCATCAAAACAAAAGATACAATACTGTATCGTATCATAGGAATGAGACCTTAGCTAAGCAAGCTGGATGAAATAGTCTAGATTGAATTTTCCTATATTTGTGGATGATAGAGGCCTATAATTAATGATGAGCCTAGGAGGCACTGGCCCTTAGACTTAGGAGGCGAGTTGGCTTAGTTGGTAAAGTGTCTGCCTTTAAAACCCCCAAAACGTGGGTTTGAATCAAACCACGTACTCCTCCCCTGTTAAATGGAGGCCCTGCGTAAAGGAGAGTCACCCGGCATTTTTAGAACCCACTGCACTGTTCATATAAGAGTAGGGGGACACCCCGGTGTAGTGGTTCACCTGCACACCCTGATCAGACCCGAGGGTTACAGTGATTCAGTTCGCTTTTCGCCTCCCAAACTTTTAATTTCTAAAAATAAATGCCCATCTTAAAATTCTCCTCTGCAAGATATATCCAATTCATGAACCCACTTTCACTCTCAATCAGAGATACACATATTCCATACCTTGATTTTGTGAACTTCGTCAACGAAAACAGCATCCCACGAGACTGTGAGCAGGTCGTCCTGTTAAAGTAGAAATGTTAGACATTAACATGTAAATAAATATATGATTAAAATTCACAGAGTTTTCAAAAACATTAGGATAGTATATCCCAATGAGAGTGGTTTACACAAAACAAATTATGAGTTCCGAACAAAAGGTCCATTTCTCAAAATGATAGTCATGTTATTACGTTCAAAACTACATGTACTCCCTGTGCATAATAAACAAAATAAAATTTAGATGCTACTTGTAAGTGTCGGCTTGCATGGTGATGTACATATACAGTAGGTTTGCGGGTGCACCATGTGAGAGAGAGAGAGGGTTGAGGAGTCCTGAAAAGGCCCTGACTCGGTAATCTTTCTAGGGGGTGTGTAGTCCTGAAAAGAACTGTTGTTATCTTTCTTAGCATATAGTTCTAAGGAGAACTATAGCGCTTGGAGAGGAAGAGTGGCTCAACGTTTTTAACAGGTTGACTATCCATCGTCAGGAGTGGAGAATAGCTGGCGTGCGTGAGCTTAAGTGCTGGGTGCGGACGTCAGGGAAAAATAAGTGACCGTGTTGGCTTGAGTCATCGGGGAGTGGGCATGGATGGTCGGCTGGTTCGTCTGACTGTCCGTCTGGGCTGGAGTCTTCGGGTTGCCACACCTGTAGCTCCACCAATACATATTTATAATTCCCCATGCCTTCATAGTCTTACCTGATATAGTCTGTATGTTTCATACGTTGTGAGCACTGCATCCAGTCTGCCTCTCATAGCCCTCCTCAGCGTATCATCTCTCTCCTTACCATGGTATCTCCTAAGGACAAACACAAAAACAATTGATTTGAAATATAATGACACCGTTCATGCCTTCTACAGAAGGCGATGGTACCCAACATGGTCCTGCAAAAATTCCTCAGGGAAACTCTCAAAATTCATAACCGCAACCCTTGACTGAACAACATGCATGTACCGGTAACTAATCTGAACCCTACCCCTAAAACCTAACCCCAAACCCAATTGCAACCCTAAACCTAAACCTACATTGATTAAATAACGCCCAGAGTTGTCATCGCTGGAGAAAATCTAAGATCACTCAACAGGCCAATACATTGTATTTTCAACACAGAGATATGGAAAGATAAATCGGAAACCCCATCTCAGATACAGCTACCGGTAGCTAACCTTCCAATATTGTTTGTTTAGTCGTACACAAAAATTTTCTTTTCATTCCTGAATCTATGGCTTTTAAAATCTACATGTAAGTGTGTGGCTGGAATTCCAAAAGAAGAAGATTGATACAGTTCAGAGTGAGAGTTTGTTAAAAAAAAAAAAAATCAAAATCTGAGTCTGGCATTACGGCTTCCTATAATGGCTGCAATTTTACTGGCTACCTTAAAGTCCAGTAATATGTGTAAGATTAATTTTTAGATATTTTGGTTGCAGTCTCAGTTACATGTTCTTTAATAGTTGTTTTAAAAAAGGCAAAAGAAATTTTGAAAATCCTGACAATTAATCAACCCTATCAAACTATGACCAAGATGATTTCCAACCACTACCTTGAGGGTGGGTGTCAGTGAGTTTGCAAGCATTGGAATACTTACGCTACAATGCAGTGTGTCCAGGTCTCAAACTCATCCAGCCAGTTATAGAGCACAGAGTTTGGGCAGATGATGAGAAAAGTCTTTGTCTTAGAGCTGTATTTCTGTGGAGACTCCTGGAAAGGGAAAGATAAGACTTTGTTCAGATATGACACGGAAAAAACCTCAGCGGGTTTTGTTTTACGACGTAAAGAGTGATATAAATATCTTTGTTGTTTTTCAGTTGTGAAAGTGTCATATAGGAACGAGTCTCAAAATTGCAGCAAAAATTTTACGTTTATTCTCTTTCTTTATATCCAATATGAGAACTATACCTTGTAGAGATGAATTCATGAAGGAGGTTTTTCTTTTATAAAGTCTACAAAGCACCTGAAAAAATAACTTGTGCATATATGTAGGCACATGTATAAAAAACAAACTTCAATGAACTTTACCTGGTACCCTATAGGTAAACGGTTAAGGTGTATGAAGAAAAGAAAGGATAACATAAAACCCAGAGTACAGGCCCGGGGCTCGCAAGGAACTAAAGTTGGACTTAGGTTCCATGCATTCCTTATAAGACGTTTTGCTGTTCACCAAGATTGTATTTAAATTGCAATATCTCTTTTGATATAGCAGTAATATTTGAAGCTAATGTTTTGAATACAGTAAAGCCACATGAAACCCCTCATCAAGAGCCAAATATATATTGGTGATTGTTACACTTAAACTAATACCGGTAGTTTAAACCGCCATGATCGTCTTACATGAATATGTAGTACATGGATCGCCAACTAAAGGGCAATATGAGCCTATCCAGGACGGAGGTTTAAAACCATGAAGAGTCAACTAAACAAAAGACAGTTGTAGCAATCTGCAACTAATTACCTTCTGCAGAAACTCTGGTAGTCTTCTCTCCAAGTCTTCTTTACCTCCAGTCAAGCCAAGTAAAGCAGCAATAAATGCAATCACCTACAATGTACAAAACATTACACATTTAAAATGTACTGTATCAACTTGATAGCCATTTAAATACAAGTTTGACACTGGAAAGTTCTCTATCATGGTGGGGTTTGATCCTGAGAATATGGCGGTAAAATCAAAATACCCATATAAAGTTATTTTCTCCATTTTACTGTAAATATGGCAATATCAGTCTTGAGGCTTTCAAATTGTCTTTTTCTTATTATAATAAAACCTCACAGAAGCGACCAGAACATCACAAGATAGGAAGATCTGGCTTGAGGTCATGAAGCAGAAGCCATCACTCATCCCCCAGATGGTGTGGAAGGCTTAGGTCAAGGTAGGTCAGATCAAAACCGAAATTGAATTGAATTGAAAAGAAATCTCCCGGCTGATCCCCAAAGGTCCTCCTACCTACCTGGACTGTTTTCCCCAGACCCATGTCATCTCCTAGGATGGCTCCCTCATCCTCCTTGTAATGTCTGTAGAGGAACCGCACCCCTTCTCTCTGGTAGTCTCTCAAGTATCTGTTGATGGTCCCAGGCACCTGAGCAAACAAAGAGAAGCTTGACTGAGTCTTGGTGAAGTGAGATATAAATTGTGAAATTTCCCTTTCTTGTTATCCTTGTTTGTTCATTAACTTGTTCCGTCTTTCCTTATGCCATTCCTTCCTTCCTGCGTTTTTTTCTGTTCATCTGCTCATTCATTTTTTTTCTTCAATTTTCATTCATTCATTCATTCCATTGTTTGTTTGTTTTTCGTTCGTTCATTCATTAGGCCACATACATAATGATAATATCTTTGGAATACATGAGAAAATAATTGATTGAAAACGCTAATGGCACACATGCGTAGCTGCCTAGGAATTGAAAGGGCTAACTATTAAAAAAAATTGTATATTTATTCAAGCATAATCGATCACAATCACAGTATTAACTGAAAAAATTATAAGAATGATTAGTTTATTATTTATATTTTTTTTAAAGGGGGATGACACACACAGAAAAAGGGGAAAGAGAAAAATAGAGAAAAGCCAGCTGAAAAATCTTAAAACCATGTACCGATATACAAAACAATGCAGTACATATATAAATAAACAATGCAGCCACAGGGAGTCAGGGAAAACATCTGAAACCCCCCTCCCAAGGTTACCAGCGTCAAACACGCGGGAGAAAACTCCACCCAGCTCAAGCGTTCATCAAGGGGGCTACATGTAGCACAAGCAGGGTAGAAAAATAGTTAAGAGTGTAGAAGGATAGTATAGTATGAATATTATGCCCCATGACAAATGATTTGTCTTTAGCTGCTGATGTACATGACTAGGAATAGTTTTGAACCACATTCTTTCAATTTCAATTCAATTTCACTTCATTTATTTTCAATTTTTAAACAATGTTTTTAAACAAGGGCAATATGCAGATGACAAATGTTTGTGTAGCCCATGTGCCCATGTCTGTGACTAGTGCTTTTCATTTGCAATTTCAGTTAAACGCCTTAGGGTTATTGTAGATTCACTTACCTGTATCAAAGGTCTTCTGCCTGGACTAGAGAGAGTCAAAGGCTCTTTCGTACTCATATCAGATTTCCCTGGAAAGTGTGGCTTCTCAACATCTTTATCACTGAAACCTGAAATTAATCAGAGGCAAGTTTCTTGAAACTGTAATAAGTCAAAGTTTGTGAACATTCATTTGAAATGTGAGTATACTGCTACAACTTGTGCTTATGTTGGATGTCCAAGAACTAAAGACTTACAATAAATTTGAGAAACTGGCCCCGGCCCCAGAGTCTTGTTGAATGTGTTTCAATGTTGGCATAAAATGCGCATTCTGTAGACCCCAGCCCAGAATACCTCAGTCATCATCGTCAACATTTTAAATTTGTGAATTTTTACACTATCCCTTGCCTGCAAGTGATACAGATAGAATATTTACACAAATTAACTTTAGGATCAAAGAAAGTATTATATCAACCAATACACGGGTCAAAATAGAATGTGCATGTCATCATCTGAGAAAAGACTTGACCACTATACATCCATATTACTGCAGTTCAGTCTTGACATAATGATATCATGTAGACATTTTTTTTCTGGTTGCTTGGTTTTTTTTCAGAGAAATAAAATTTGGTGACCAACAGAGACAGGGAACATTCTGTTCTCAAGTTACCTTCTTCTAAATCAGCAATATCCCAATCATCTCTGGAAGCCCTGTCAACATTTGAGGATGTTGCAACTGGCTGGCTTATTTTCCTGTTCAACAAAAGAATAAATTATCTATTAAAAGATGATGGAAAGGCTCAGTATCAAACACTAGTATATAAGGCTTCCAAGTGGTACAATAAAGTGGTACAATAACTGACCAATATTGTTTTCCTATTGCTCAGTGATCCAGGAACTTCAACTATCTATATCGATATCACACACAACAAAATGCCATATTTACAGAGGTAAGTCAATTTTTCATACTTCGCTAGTCAGCCTGATATAGATAATAATAATAATATTATATAGCTTTGTTTTTGTGTGATACAAGAATATATTGCTCTCGCTATGACAATATTAGACTCGTCTCTGACTCTTTCAATATTGTCATAGCTCAAGCAATATGTTTCTGTATCACACTCAAAGCCATCCAATATTATATAAATATTTTGAATGCTTCACTTCAAAAAGAAATATATATATATATATATATATATATATATATACCGTCTAATGCATAAGACAATAAGCCCTTGCCACTTGTACATTTCATCTGACACAATAGCATACAAGTTGCACATCCATAATAAATCCCCATCAACATCACATACTACAAATAAACACATCTTGACATAATATTTCAAATCAAATAAGTTGTTCATCATACAATTAGAGAGAAAAAAGAACTCATTTTAATAATATCTCACCTTGGTTTATCTACTGTTGCACTTTTAGGGGATGCCTTAGCATCACCTCCGAAAGCAACTACCCCCTTGCGCTTCTTCACGGCGGAACTGACCCTTGACCCCTTGTGTGTAGTAGTCTTCTTGTCAGGTCGAGTAGAGGTTGGTCTTTTAGCTGGTCTTGGATCATCATACATGTCAGCATACTGAGCTCTTGAAGGATTATTGAAATAGAATATGAATTAAAATATGATTATCTCTTTCTCTGTTGTACCTCTCTCTCTCATTCTCATTCTCTCCCTTTCTTTCCATCTCTTACTTTCTTTCTGTTTGTCTCTCTTTTTCTCTCTCTCATCTCTCTCTACCTATCTCTCTCTTTCTCTACCCATCTCTGTCTACCTCTCTCCCTCTCTTTCCATCTCTCTTACTTTCTTTCTCTGTCTCTCTCTGTCTCTCTTACTTTCACTTTCTCTTTCTCTACCTATCTCTCTCTTTCTCTACCCATCTCTCCCTACCTCTCCCTCTCTTTCCATATCTCTTACTTTCTTTCTCTGTCTCTTTCTGTCTCTCTTACTTTCTCTTTCTCTCTTACTTTCTCTCTCTCTCTCTCTTTCTAACAACTGCTACTCAAAAATAAACTTTTGCATTCGGATAGGTACTTCAATAACAAAGACAATTATTGTAAGAAATAGTTGCCGTCATCTGTTTCCTACATTTACATAGCGTAAAGGAGATATTCTGCATCTAGCAAAACCACAGCATTCATATCAAAACCAGAGGATCTAGCAAAACTACAGCACAAGGAAGAACACGTCTTACCTAATTCTATCCTCTTCTGATATGTAATTTAAAAGTGGACTATCAAAGTCTACATCTGGGGCACTGCTCTTCTCACAAGATTTCTCTGCAGAAAAAAAAATAAGTGCAATATTACCAACGATAGGAGAACACACATTATTAGTCTACATATATTCTTTTATAGTGAGAATCAGACTTCATGGCTTCCCAATAAATAACATCTTCCATTGAAAACCATATAAACCTTTATATCCTTCAGATGCTCTTTTAAAATATTGACACAAGGTCTTTCATTTGAATCGACGAGGCCTGCCTAAAAAGTAACATGTAATACACTAAGATTGATAATATTCTCATTTCTCATTTCCCCATTCTGTTTTTGAGAAAAAACTTCCACCCATAAACAAATACAACTTACAAGGTAAAACATTTACTTTCACTTTTGGATATTATACTATCCAAACAGATACCAAGGTAGGATAAGAGTTCATTCAAATGATTAAACAATAATTTTAAAACAAGGCTGGAATATGTTTTTAAATCATACTTTTACAAACTTTAAGAACATTACTTGATCGTGTCATCTCCCTAAGGTCGTCAAGGTGGACTAGTTCATTATCCTCTGCCAAGAAGCCCTTGTACTGGACCTCTGCCATCTTGCATCCATCCCCATCTACTTCTATCTTGAGGATGGCAGCTTTGTACAGGGAGCCATCACCGGAGAATGGCGCCATGCACTTGTCTCCAGTGGACCATTTTCCTACACCATGGTGTGACAAAGAAGAAAAATAATTAATACAAACTAAGTTAAGTCATGTTAATAACGCTTTAACAGCCATTAAATTTGTTTTTGTAGAGTCCGTGTTTCTTGAAACAGCAACACTCGCTCATAAACAATGTAATGATATGGATATTCTCGTGTTTCAGTAGGGGAGTTTGTAATGATATGGATATTCTCGTGTTTACGTTTTCCTCAAAGGTTCATTGACGTACATGTACAAGGCAAATTCCTGGTAGATTTTGCTAGAACTATTTTTACAAACATACATGGTGAATTACTTGTATGCTATTTTTAACACCTGTTCCGAGACGTTGCGCTCTTAATTTTGGCTCTACTTTTTCGGCTTGGCCGATTGGATTAGGTGTCGCTGGGCGTGTCGCCACAGTTGACTTAAATTTAATTAGGCAAATTTGGGAAATAGATTTGTATTACAATTGGAAGGGTTTTTCCTTGTTGCCGGGTCTGTTCACACTATCGAAATAGTATGAGAGAGGAAGTGAGGATTACAGGTGTGTAATAGCCAGAAGCATGTGGGCTCGCTAGTGTGGACGGACATAGCAACATTTATCCCTTTTTATATTCATTGAATTAATTTCCAGGGTTGTTGGGTCTCCGGGTGATTTGCATCTCTTGTTTGAAAGATTAGAATGTAAGAGACACAGGTGGGTGCGTGAAAGAAGTATGTGAGGAATAGAGATGCGGATCATCCGGAGCGCCTTATATCCGGGGGGGGGGGGGGGGGGGGGGGGGGGTAAATTCGCCAAGAAATATAGGACCTTTTAATACGGAAACTAACTATGGGTGGATTGATATTACGCAAAGCGTCTCTGTGACACGCCTCAATTTTTGGGAGGACGAGGCGTGTCAGTTCGGGGGGATAAAACCGAGTTGCGTCTCTGGAGCGGGACCTCTTTTCCGTTACGATACCGACATGAGTTGCTAATTTGCTTCAATTGGGTTGCCCAGCCCCAAAAGATGAACTTCGTGATTTATTAATTCTACGTTTATTTTAATAAATCTTCAACTCCAATCAAGAATTTGTTTTAATGACTTTGATTTATCTTCGTTTTCTACACTTCAAGAACCTAAGTGATACTTATAACATTTTCTGAGTCGGTACTAGGCGGGGCGGCTTTGGCTTTGGCCGTGGATCGCTTCAACAATAAAATCATATTTTATAATACATTTAATGGCAATATTGTATAGAAATTGAAAGATCAATTTATAAAAAATGAGAGACTTTCATGATGTTTCTGGCGTCGGAAACTGACTCATTATAATTGTCATCATAGCAATCGATCTACGAAAGAAACAATTTGAACATGACACACACGTAAATAAGCATGTGGGGCACACGTTAAGTTTTCTGATATTTCAACGTTACATTCACTGCATTAAAATACAAGATACACGTACTAATCATTCACTCATATATACCTTCCATATTTTTCAGTATTTTTGTTGAGAAAATTCATTCACAGGGACCGGAATGACCGTCGTTCCAGAACTTCCAGGGCATTTCTCGTCATCTCCGCTCAGCTCTCGCAGACTTTGATCAGACGAATTCGTGCATTGGTATCGCAGATGGCGCTAGACCTGCTCCACGCTCTGATCTGTCAACAGAGCGAGATCACCATACAATATTTTGAAGCTTGTGCGAATTTCGTGCATTTTCGTTATTAATAGGAGATGAAATAGGGACCTTTGTTACGTTAGTCTCTTTCACTCTCAGTAGATTAGATAATATAGTGACCGTATTGCGGGCCGTATTGGATCAGCCTCTGTCACTCTTTGTACTTCTTTCTCATCCCTCAATCTCGCTCATTCATATAACGTAACTCTCAATTCTTCTTCACTACTTATCTCTCTCTCTCATCACTCATTCACTCGTTATAATCCATTCATCTCCACTCTCTCTCTCCCTCCTCTTTCGGCACCCACTTTCTGCTCTCTCTATCTCTCTCTCTCTCTCTCTCTTACTCTAAGTCCTTGCCCTCCTCCCCTTTCATATATCTATCAAATAAATCCTTCATTCTCTCCGTCTCTGTCTGTCTCTCTCAATCTTTGTCTCCCTCTCTCTCAATCTTTCTCTCTCTTTCTCTCTCTCTCTCCTTCTCCCTCTCTCCTCTCTCTCTCTCTCTTTTTCTCTCTCCCCTTATTTGTTAAATTATCATACAAAATTCTTTATTTTTTTTTTTTTTGTTCAGTTGAATAAACATAATGATATTTCAATTTTGATCATAACAATAAAAGTGATGTGGTACTGAAAAAACCAAGTATAATATGTGTAAAATATAATGAAATGGATATTCTAGTATCCACAAAACATATTTTATTTTAATGCAATGTTAATTATAGATATACAGAGGGGTACATTCAGTTTATTTGCATATATTTACGCAATCAAATTTTACAAATATGTGATTGTGCAGGTACACATGAAAAGTATCATTTCAATAGTTAGTAAAAAAACTAAGTAAAAATTTGTATTGAGAGCGTGCAAGTAATTTCAAATTCAAGTGATTTGTAATCTTACAGATCAGCCTCTCCCACTTACTTGTTTTTAAAAAACTAACAAAAAACAAACAAGAAACAAGAAAACGATAAGGACTGCAATACATGTACATAGAATCAATAAAACACTTGCAAAGAATACTCAAGCTAGTTATCATAAAAGTCCTGCATGACCTGTCTGTATTGATAAATGCTGCTGATAATAACATGTGCTTGTCGAACAACCTTCATGTATAGTACATTATCTGAATACTTCACTCCGCTTAATAGTCGTATTATAATCCATGCTAATTTAATTCCAAACCAGCACCCAAGTGTGCACCATCTCCACTCCTTGGGGAGTGGTTTAATATAACTTACTGTAAACGTGGGAATATTTGCGAATTTAGCGCTGAAGTTGGTGTCCGCGAATATATAAGCATGACTTCTTATGCATGTTTTTAACAGGCTGAATTGCGTGCAACGCAAATTCAAGAACCCGCGAGTATGTTTTGGGGTCGCTCAGCGCGAAAAATTAATCACGCCGAAATTACAGCGTTTATAGTATACTGTTCACATGACATGAGTTATTATCTATAATCACAATTAGAAGAACAAAATCTATGATTTTAACCTTCCTTATCAATAAGTGATGAAGTAACTATTGCACTTTAACATAACTACGACGCAGGCTCATATTGATTATAATAGAGTAGTAGACAGATATCTCACAGTGTTCAATTTTATCCTTAAAGGGACTTTGTAACATTGTTAAGATGAGAGATAGTGGTGCTAAGGTAGTGACTTCAATGCTAGATGTCAATGAAAGATAATCTGAAAATTTGAGTGAAAACGGACCATTATTCATGGTACAAATTGGGAAAACTGATCTGATCAATTCCTTAATTCTCCCAACTATATTATTACAATTTAATTACATTTTAGGTGAATGGGAATCTCACAAAGCAATAAAATGGCTCTACATTCCATTCCAGACATTTAAGTGTTGACAGATTTTTCATAGCCTGTTTTATGTCTTTTTTTCATGGAAAAAACGGTTGGGAAAATTCAAAAATGGTTGGGAGAATTTACTGTTAATCAGTGTTAGAGGGTGCCTCACATCGACGCCTTCAAAGAAAACCGTAGATATCTTTGTGGTTTGAGAATTTTTTTCAGGATTTTTGTATGTCAGAGGGTTAGTACAGTAGAAGGAATATAGTAAGTAACATTTTATACAAAAATTAAGCAATTTTTTCCATCAACCTTCAACAATGTTACCAAGTCACTTTAACATTATCCTACATCCTCGAGCACTACAGAGTTTGTTAATGCCTCCACCACCGAAGGCATTATATTTTCGGACTGTCCGCCTGTCCCTCTTTGCGTTACCGTGATAACTCAAGAACCGTTGAGTGGACTGTAACCAAACTTGGATAAAAGTATATGCAATGATGACCTGGTTAGATTCCGGGCGCTTTTGAATTTCACCTGTAACCCTCTCTACAGGATCATGTACCACCATTGGTTGTTTGGATCATCAAATGCAAACATCATCATGGTTATTATCCAGACCATGCTGTTCACCCTCAATTCACCAAAAATTTATTTTGACATCAGCTCACTGATCCGATGAGTCCTTCACCTGAAACCCTCTCTACAGAACGATGCATCACCACTACTTCGATCAGCAGGTGTTGATACTGTCCTAGTGTCTTCTTCCATACTGTGGTCTTCAGCTTCCTCTGTCTTCCTGGCTGCACTTCCTAACTCCTGCCCATCCTCACAATCTACTCCAGATGATCTTGAAGTGCTCCCAGTGGCATTCAAAGAAGAACCGGTGCCAGGTTCGCATGTCTCGACCGGTTCCAACACTTGGGTCTCCTTTTGGCCCTCTCGTTTTCTGGTCCTGGTCTTGGTCCTTGCCCCAAGTTGGTCTCGCAGTGAGTAGGCCCAGCTTAGATCCTCCTCCCACAGAGTAGGCTCAGCTGGGTTCATGTGTACAGCCCTGCTGAAAGATTTGACAGCCTGCAGAAAGAAAAAAAATTGCACAGGTTGACAATTAATTGGAAAGAAAATAGCAGACACATAATGTGGTCTTATTTACAATTACTATTAACCAAGCATTACCACATAGCTTTAAATACACTTGGTTTGATTCTTCAGAGGGACAAAGGTGGGTATAACACCTTTTTAGGTATGTAAGCATCAAGCAAATGATCAAATATAGGTCCTTTTGGATGAGTCGAGAGCCTTCACCAACTTCCAATTTGCCACAGAGCTCCCAATATAATAAACCCCCGATATAATCAGTAAGTATAAAATGTGTCATATAACATCCCTACACACTTCCAAAATGCCCTGGAAATCATCAGTATGGCTTTAGCTCTGGCAGCCTTTACCAGCACAGTGCACTTCATCCATTTAAACACCTGGGTCAAGAGAGACAACTAGATAAAATGCATTGTCTACGGACGTGTGCACTAGGTACAATGTAGAGACTTGAAAATCTACACACAATTACTCCCACAAGTTAAGCCATTCATGCACATCTTGGAGCTCCAATAAAACATGGTTTCACCAAATTTATGACCATGACCATCTCTATGTACAGAATTGGAATCACATTTATTTGTTTCAACTGCATGTACATGTACATTCTTGACTAAACATACATTGTGAACAACAAGTTGTAACGTAAGATGTTCAGTAGCATGATTTAGGAGTACAACTCAGTGAAAACTATCAGCACTCCCCCCCCCCCCTCAAAAATATCAGAAAGACAAATATGTTACCATGGTGATTTCTCCGAGCCCAATCTGAGCACGTCCTAATGTCTGGTACGCAACCCACCACTGGGGAGCTAACACTGTGGCTTGCTGTGCTGCTTCAACGGCAGGGAATACCTCATGCAACTCCATCAACACCTAGAAAAACCCACAAAGGGGATGATAAAAAAAAAAAAGCTGATTAATTTTTGTCAATCTGTGTGACAGAGCCATGGTCCATGGTCCCTCAATTAATCAAATATGTGGACAGCTTTCCCTTTTCACATGGGTGGGGTACCAATCTGTTAGCCTAATAATATTCTCATTATTTTTTGGAATGCTTGTGTATTGTTTCACCTAAAATCCATTATACTGCAACATTTATTTTAGTCTTGTTGAAGAAAGTAGAGTAGAAAATACTAAAGGGCTCTTCACTACACTGACTCTTGACTACATTACACCGTGCCATAGTACAATATATTAAAGTAAGAGTTAGGGTTAGAGTCAGGGTTTTGGGTTAGGTTTAGATGGGATTCAGGGTTAGGCCTTAGGGTAGGGTTATGGTAAATGTGCGTGCAGGTGTTCTGGTCTCTGTTAATGCCAGAAGTTAAAATAATGTTTAGTTATTCAAATGGATGCCACCTTACTTGTGCTTTCATTTCATGTAGATGTTCATTTGCAGGGGTATATTGAAGAGCATCATTCCACTTGTTCAAAGCCTCCCAGAATCTGGATAAAAGAAGCATATTTTTAAAGAAAACATTTAATGTTTGGATGCTATGAACCAAAATCGATTCGCAAGATAATCAGTTCATATTAAACTTCTAAAATACAAATGAGAGACATACAGATAATTAAATGTTACAAAACAGACAAATGCTAGGATTTTGATAATCAAAGACAGCATATCCATAGTTTAGTACTTTCATTAAAAATCATACCTGGCTGTATCTAGATATACTTGTAGGAAACCACTCATTCAGTGTGCAAGCACACACTTGCTTGAAGTCAGTGAAAGAAGACACCAATGCATGTGAACAAATAAGCACTACTGAGTGTAGTGAACAAATAGTCTCCTACCTAACAATATTATCCCATACCTTCCAGCATCTGCCAGTGTCTCTCCTTCAGCTTTCAGGCGTTGGCTCTTGCTGGCTGCATCCTCAAGAAGCAAAACCTTCCTTTTCTTGGAAAAAGTATCCCACAGATTGTCTTCATGGTGACCATCTTCTCCTGTGGAATCTTCCTGCAACAATCCGGTCTTACTTTCAAAGTTTGAAGAGGCTTCTTTGGACACCTTCTCACCAACTTTTCTTTTCCATCCAAAACTTGTCATATTTTTTTTGTTTGTGTACTTTGGTTTCTTGTGTTCTTTATAACTATAGGCCTACACCTTTATTTTCCTGGAAATAAAATGATTCCATAAAATCAGTATTAGAACATGATCAAGGTAAAGTAACAGTTTACAAGGAAATAAAGTTCTTCCAGATTAGAAGATATTAAACCTTGTCAATCTAGTGTTAATTAAACAAAAAATGAGAAAAGGGCAAACTAACAATTCTAAAAAAATTAGAATTAAAAAAAAAAACATTTCAAGATGAAATTGTAAATTTGGATGTGACTCAATTGTAGAGTCTCACTTTTGGTTAGACTACTTTACCCGAAACAGCCTATTCAAATAATGAAAATGCAGAGAGCTATTATTATTATTAATAAGTATTAATCATTGAATTAAGGAGCAATTCATTCATTTGATAATGCATAAACATAGGGTAATCAATTCTCACTCATTAAGCAACCAAGAGTTAGAGTAGACTCTCAGATCTCACACTAATGATGGAGTTCCTCATGCTAAAAAGAAATGAATAGTCTGGTCAACATAACAAATATAACCCTATTTTGTTACAAAATAAACAAGCACAATTTAGCCAAATCGGGAGAGGCAAATGGAACGCATTCAAGGTACAGGAAACAGACACTACCCTATAAAAATTGGAAAGTTGGGAAAAACTGCTTGTTACTTGTTGCTGTATAAGCTGTAGACCCTAATCCCAATCGCAGCTCCTAAGCTCCTTGGAAGCTAAACCCTGATGTCAACCATGCACACAGTCACAGACTGCGCTGCCTGACAAGCGACAGACAGACTGCTTACTTAGCTCTCAAGTCTAAAGCCAAATGTATTTTGCCCTATATATTCAGGGATATTTCATCAATCTATAATATCGATCTTAAAATGAATTTCAAGATCGAAAATCGGGTGTAATGATGAATCATAAAGAATTTGTCTGAGCCAAGCTAATCCGCGCCGATCCTAGTTAGGTTCAGCCAACTCAACGCACAACTCTGCAAAGTCTCAGCGGGCCGGTGCAGGCGCGGCTAGCTCCGCAGAAGGGTACCATGCATCGGGGGTACCATCCGCCGAAACAGTTGGACTTTGCCACTCACAATTTTACTTTTAATAGTTTTAACAGGGTTGAATTAGCATAATTCATCACTTAAATTGCCCTCTTATCAATTAAAATGTAGTTCGCATGTTTTATTGGCAAAATAATAAAATACACTAGACAAGACGACAGCTACTTACGAAAATCAGGCCAGTTGAGCCAAACCTCAAAGTGATTGATTTAGCTTTTTTAGTATAGCGCCATCTCTTGACGTAATTTAGTGCGGATGCTGGACACGTTCAAATAGAAAGTCATGAAAACAAAAAGAGAAATCTCCTTATATTAGAGTCAATTGGTTTTTAGAAATTTAATTTGAATTTACAAAGGTAGCCCAATTAACACCTTAATCATATCTACATAATAATTTTTATCTTCAAAGACCCTCGACATCCTCGACGGAACTTAGGGCAGGTAACACGTACCAGATCCATATTTTGTGAAAGTGGTGGCGTATGACGGGTCCAGTTGTTGAGGAGTGTCGGGGGGGGGGGGGGGGGGGGGGTCAGCCTTAATAGGTAAAAGTAGAAATAATGTGAAAGCTTCGTGTGATGGGATCGAGTGTTACAGTTTTAAATACATTTACATTCTCCAACAAATAATTTTACATGCTTTCTATAATCATCATTTTCACGTCACATGTAATTTGATCTGAAACCAATGTCCCTGTTAACTCATCTGTTATGTATATTGTATTTAAGTTTTATTTACGCTTAACAGGTTTTCAAGTAAAGCGTTAATATAATGCAGATCTACTGATGCAACAAAACTGAACGAGTCTACAATAACCGTTGTAATAAAAGGGATTTCATTAAATAAATACATTAAACAGAGTTCGATACACCACTAAAAACCATCTGCATGTTGTATGTAAAAGGTGAAAACAGCAGCTGGTAAATGAAGTAATGAATATCCAAAGTTATAAATATCTTACTCCATAAGGAGTTCAATGACCTCCTTATTTCCTCGATCTGAAAAGATACAGGTACTTTCAATAAACACATGTGATATATCCTGGTCAAGGTTGTTTTAAAACATTCAAGCATTTGGACTATGTGCTCCATCAATGTTTGCTATATATGCAAATACTTTTATATTTTTTGTATATATATTTTTTTTAATTTGACTTTATAATTCTATATAAGTCCTCCGTATGTATCGTATACAAATCACCAATAGCAATTACGTGGTATAGTAATTTAAATGTTTTATAAGTGAATGGTTTGTCGTGAACTAGTCAAAGGCAAGTATATAACTTCATTTGATGCATTTCCTTTGTGTCTACACTAAATTACATGAACCTGAATGTATCAATGTGTTGTAAATGAAGATTGTAAAATGTGAAATATGAACAATAAAATGAAATTGAAAAGAAAAAAGAAAAAAGAAATCGCAACTGTTCTCCCGTTCTTTTCACCCTTTCCTTTTCTTCTTTCTCTTCTTTCTTTCCCCTTCTCTCCTCTTTCCCTTCTTTTCCTTCTCTCTCTCTCTTTTCTTTTTGGCGGGGGGGGGGGGGCAAGGTCCGCTCGCCCCCCCCCTCCCTGGATCCGCGCCTGTGCGGCTATATTCCTGGCAAGAGGGACGCCCGCCTCTTTCCCGGTAAAAAAAAAAAAAAAAAAAAAAAAAAAACACCGTCTTATAATATTATCCCTCTTTTTTTTCTTTTTCTTTCTCGTTATTCTCCTTTTCCTCCTTTTCTCTCCTCCGTCTTTCCCCTTTTCTTCCTTTCCGCCTTTTCTCTCCTCTCTCTTACTCTTTCTTCCTTTCCTCCTCCTTTTTCTTCTCTCCCCTTGTTTTCTTCTTCCTTTTTTCTTCTTCTTTCTCTCTTCCCTTTTCTTTCTTTCCCCCTCCTTTTTCTACTTTTCTCCCTTTTTTACGGGGGGGGGGGGGCACGTGCCCCCCTGTGCCCCCTGAATCCGCAACTGCCAGGTTAAATTGTTTGTATCATTTTGCGTGCATGACATTCACAAAATCTTTTAAGAACTTTGAAGAATCGATACCATTTCAATATTCATAATCACTGATTTTATATAAATAGTTAATCAAAATTCAAATTTTCAGGATTTAACTGAAAAAAATTACATCAAATTGCTGCAAAAAGTTGGTGCATCCACACGAAAACATATTACTATCTATATAATTTGGATGCTCGTGTGAGGAAATAACATTCTTGGGGGGGGGGGGATAGAATGGGAAATTTATATTATTAAAATAAAGATAAGAATTAGAGGATGCTACGAAAGACCATTAGTGCCACGAAGAAAAAAAAACACACTTTCTACTAATCTGTTTAAACAGATTACGATATTTCTTCTAATCTGTTTAAACAGATTATAATCTGTTTAAACAGATTACGGTATTTCTACTAATCTGTTTAAACAGATTACGGTATTTCTACTAATCTGTTTAAACAGATTACGATATTTCTTCTAATCTGTTTAAACAGATTATAATCTGTTTAAACAGATTACGGTATTTCTACTAATCTGTTTAAACAGATTACGGTATTTCTACTAATCTGTTTAAACAGATTACAGTACTTCAACTAATCTGTTTAAACAGATTATAATCTGTTTAAACAGATTACGGTATTTCTACTAATCTGTTATAACAGATTACGATATTTCTTCTAATCTGTTTAAACAGATTATAATCTGTTTAAACAGATTACCGTAGTCTGCATGTTACGTTCTATAATAGAAAATCACGTTGTTACAAATACATAACTGATGGCCGGTCAAGCGTGCAGGACAGGACATCTGGAGCTGCATTATAGCTATACCCTTTTACGTTTTCAATGTATCTCACGATCCTTTGGAACAGGACCTTCTTGTGGCAATGGAATGTGAAGGCTTGGTTCGGAATTACTTTAATTTAGGATATAATTACAACGAAATCATTGCTTCTCTTTTATTCAATCACAATGTAGCGATAAGCAAACGAACATTGAACAGAAAGTTGCGAGACCTTGGTCTTTATCGTCGTAAAAACCATACTGATGAGTTAGATGTAGCTTGCTTTATTCTACAGGAACTTCAGAGTTCAGGGTGCTTACATGGTTATCGATGGATGCACCTGAAATGCATCCAAAATGGTATCAACATTGACAAAGAAACTGTTCGGCATCTACTCGGAGTGTTAGACCCAATAGGTCTTGAATACCGATCACGTAGAAGGCTACGAAGGCGTTTATATCGAGGACGGGGACCAAACTTTATATGGCATCTAGACTCCTATGACAAATTAAAACCTTTTGGAATCTGCATCAATGGATGTGTAGATGGCTATTCAAGGAAGGTAGTTTGGCTAGAAGCTTACACGACAAACAATAATCCCAGAGTAATAGCTGGATACTACATGCAAACGGTTAGGAAAGAGATGGGATGTCCTCGTGTCATTCGATCAGATTTTGGAACAGAGAATAACACTGTCCGCCAAATGCAACAATTTCTGCGCAGAAATGGTGACGACCCACTTGCGTCTGAAAAGAGTTTTATGCAAGGAACGAGCCAGCATAACCAAAGAATAGAGAGTTGGTGGGGCGTCCTTAGAAAGCACTCTATACAGTTCTGGCTGAACATGTTTGGACAAGTGAAAGATCAAGGTCACTTTACTGGAGATCACCTGGACAAGTCACTGCTGCAGTTTTGTTTCATGAATCTAATTCAGGTAAATTGATATGTGTTCATGCTGTTAACCAGCTCTAGAAGTGTTGGTCGAGGTCGAGCGATCCCAATAGCTCACTTAAGCCTTTAATTTGGATGGGGGTATGTTCTGCTTTCATCCCAAAATAACAAAATAAAATAAATTTATTTTTCATGGCTCAACTTTTACCAACATTGTGCACTAAACATAAAATTTGAAAAGGGCCCCTTTTTAAACCAATCACAATCAATCTTATGTCACCGGATAGCTGGAAAATAGCGCCTTGTATCCTCTGGAAAAGACGCTATAAAATCCAGTTGTTGTTATCATTATTATTATTATTATTATTATTATTATTATTATTGTGATTATGATTATTATCATTATTATTATCATTACGTTGCTTAATTTAAAAACGCGAGAATTAACCCCCCTCCCTGCACCCTCCCCCCTAGGGCGCGCGCGGTATGTAATTTTTACGCTTCGCGTGCTCATCCTTACCGCCCCCCTGAAATGAAATCCTAGCTACGCCATTGGAGGGTTTTGATATTTTCTCAGTACTTCACCATGGATAACCCACTCCATAACTGAATACTTGTCAGCTGAAATCTCTTAAAATATGTTAGCGATAAATCCTTAAAGAAATGAAAAAAGTATATTTTTATCAAATGTATAATAATAATATTTATTTTCTTCTTCTTTGTATATGGAACAGGAAGAACTGGACAAGGTTGCTAAGGAATGGAACGCTCATAGAATCAGCAAATCAAGGAACCAGTGTGGACCATTTGGTCGCCCCAACGTGATGTACAGGACACCCCAGGTGTATGGAACACAAGATTTTCTTGTGCCGTTGGAAAACGATGAGGTTGAAGTATGCGAGGAAGAATGTACTTTCAAAAGTCAGTACCCTTGTGACAGAGACGTATTTGACCTTTGCTCGATCCTGATGACTGAAGAACAACTACCTGTACCGCAGAATAGCGAAGAAGGACTGAACCTATATCATACTTTGAGAATGCACTTGCTGAGGATGATTTAATCAGAGTATTTTGCATTAATTGCATGTGTATTTTGATATTAAATGAAAAACACAAGTAGATATTTTTCTACAATGCTTGGATCAGCAACCAAGACTTATTCATACCTTTCCCCACAATGACATCTTTCCTCTCTTCAAAGAAGACTAGAAGACTGAAGCGTCTGATCCGTTTTTTTTTTATTCACATATTCACCACATTGCTTAAAATGATCTGCATATAAACACAACAAAAATGTTTTTACCCCCTAAGGAAAGTGACATAACTTTTTAACTGGGAGGTGTCAAGTAACAAAATTTGCAGGTGATATTAATCAACTATATTGTTATCGTATGTGTAAAAATCAGCATAATCCTATATTCATGAATGAACAAAGGTCAAGAAAAAAATGTCACTTTTCAAAAGTCACAAGGGTATTTTTATGAGCACCATATGTACCAAAAATTATGTAAATTATGGTTCTCGTGTACAATAAAAATAAATTTTTTGCTTTTATACCAATCTTCAGACTCCTATTCATCTGACCATTAGTTTTGCGCATGGATGGACATATTTTTCAAGAAAAACAACTCTTTTTAACGCCTTTTGGGGGTTAAGCTTGATTTTCGTGAAAATATTGGGAAGTGCATTTTTCGCCAAAAAAGGTCAATTTTGCAATCGGATCGTAAAAAGTGCCCAGATTAGTAGGATAGAGTGTGATAATTGATAACATAACAAAAAGACACTAATACACATCCATCCAAGTAAGGTTTTACCCATTATTTGTTCAGTTTTTATCCTAAAAATGGATTCATATGTGATTTTAAAAAAGTGACATTTTTTGTTTCATGTGTGACCATTCAGGCGTTACAATTAAAATCATGCTCATTTTTGCACACATGCTTTTATCTGCAAATTTTGTTACTAAACACCAACCCGTTCAAAAGTTATGCTACTTTCATTTGGGGGGGGGGGGGTAAACTATTTTTGTTGTGTTTAGTATTATCCATATTTCTATTTCTTCATAACAGAGGGTAGCAATAAGTGTTCCTATATTTGTATAAAGGACTTTATAATAACTTTGATAAAAAGTGATATCATATCACAATGCCAAACTGATGCTAACGTTTTTACGGTAATGCTATTCGTTCATTATCCAGAGTTCTTGAATTAATTTCTTTCAAAGGCTAGTACTGTCTTACAATAAAAATATACTTTACTGAGACAGGAGTGTTCTTGCTTATTCGGTGTTAAATATGAACGACAGTTAATGACATAACAAGCTGAACGAAAACGAAAACAAGTTTTATTTGAAGTGTTTTGATTATTGTGGCAAGTTCATGTACATATGCTTATATTTGAGTCCGCATATCTCACCCAAACTTTATATAACACAGTCCAGCAGAAATATTATTAATTAATTGTTTTTTATTTTTCTGCTTTAAATACATGTGTATACAGTGGAAACTCAGTATAACGAGGTGCTTGGGACCATCAAAAATACATGTACCTTGTTATAGCAGTAATCTTGTTTATACAGCAGGTTTATTAAACAATAAGTTATAGAGAGCTGGGACCGGATTTTACCTCTTTATATCAGGAGTTTTGTTATATCAGATCTCTTTATACCGAGTTTCTACTGTATAAACTACATGTAGATGTTTTATGAACACATTTTATTGCTTACACTAATATTGTGGGAAATGGTTGGTACAACCCTACTGAAACAACAAAGGACACTAAAAGATGGTAATAATGACTTGTTGAGGATGAATCATTTCCTTTAATTATATGAGTGTTGCTGCTTCTAATTTTCCTTTAAAAGCACTGGTCTTAAATATATACGCCCTGAACAGTAATTGCTACAGAAATATTATACGACTATACAATAATGTACGTACATGTAACTTGCATACTGTGTGTCAACTATTTACAAGCTTTTTGAGCAATGTAAATATAATGTAAGGCCCTCATGTTTTTTTTCTGACTGTAAATAACCAAACAATTAAATAACAAAGAATAGTCAGACCATGTGTTCACAAAATATCCTCTTCGGGGTTTATAAATGTCTTATAACCATGCTGTGCCAGTGTTTTATTGCTTTCCATTAGCCATATTTATATTTTCAAGACCATACCTTTTAACCTCTATGACATTATATCAGTAAAACTAAATGAATTGGACAGTGTGGATAGACCATGTTACTGTAGCTACACAGCTAACTGTTGCTCAGCCATATCAGATATTTTCAAATCTTTGACCTCAACATAATAAATAAATCCTCGCTCTGATGGTAAAGTATGCAAAGAGTCTGTATGAAATGATTCTTTATGTGTGTTTGCAAAGTTACCACATAAAAAATAATATCATTACTTTAACGATGGATGACTGGATCATTAGACTTTTGTGTATTTTAGATCATTCTTTTGATACTGAGACACTGGCATATAAATCATTGATTATTCAAGATACCCTATTGACAACCCCCCCCCCCCTCCTATGGTTGAATTGTGCAAAGTCATACATGTACATTAAAAACTACAGCTGCCTCCGCCTTCTGTGAAAACATAGTACCTGCACGTACATACATGTATGTGTTGCCAAGAACCTTGCCATCCCTAACGATTACACCAATACTGAAATAACCCCAAAATGTGTCATATCTATTGGTGTAAATTGACTTCTGTGACCTTTGACTTTGAATCTTGGATCAAAGAATTAAGTTTACCGGTAATTTATCATTCCATGATACTTAGATTAAAGTCCATTTCTGAGGTAATACTTAGACCCAGTATAAAAATGTAAAACTTTTCATTAAAAAATGAGCATTGATCTTTTAACTTTGACCCCTATATGGTAACAAAAGCTTCCTTTAAAATAACCACTATAACATTAACTTTGACCCCTATATGGTAACAAAAGCTTCCTTTAAAATAACCACTATAACATTAACTTTGGCAAACTGTTACAGCCAAAACCTTAGATAAAAATATAAACATCAACACAAACCAAATACACAACTAGAATGCTGATTTTAAACAATGGTATGTGCAACCACCATAAGATCAAACCTACGAAACCTTTCGAAAAATACACATCATTCCAAAACCTTTATTACCAAATCGTATACATACCATTCTGCTTGAAACATAAAATATGAAACATTGGCATATAAATCATTAATTTTTCAAAGTTGAATTGTGCAAAGTCAAACCCAGTATAAAAATGTTAAACTTTTCAATAAAAAATGAGCATTGATCTTTGAACTTTGACCCCTAAATGGTAATAAAACCTTCCTTTAAAATAACCACTACAACATTAACTTTGGCAAACTGTTACGGCCAAAACCTTAGATAAAAATATAAACATCAACACAAACCAAATACACAAGAGCGCTGATTTTAAACAATGGTATGTGCAATCACCATAAGATCAAACCTACAAAACCTTTCGAAAAATACACATCATTCCAAAACCTTTATTACCAAATCGTATACATACCATTCTGCTTGAAACATAAAATATGAAACATTGGCATATAAGTCATTAATTTTTCAAGATATCCTATTGACAACCCCTCCTATGGTTGAATTGTGCAAAGTCATACATGTACATTGAAAACTACAGATACATATGCCTCCGCCTTCTGTGAAAACACTGTACCCGCACAAATATGTTGTCAAGAGCCTTGCCATTCCTAGCAATTACACCAATACTGAAATAGCCCCCAAATGTGTCATTATTTTTTTGGTGTAAATTGACTTCTGTGACCTTTGACTTTGAATCTTGGATCAAACACCAGTAATTTATCATTCCATGATACTTAGATTAAAGTCCATTTCTGAGGTAATACTTAGACCCAGTATAAAAATGTAAAACTTTTCATCAAAAAATGAGCATTGATCTTTTAACTTTGACCCCTAAATGGTAGTAAAACCTTCCTTTAAAATAACCACTATAACATTAACTTTGGCAAACTGTTACAGCCAAAACCTGCTACACAAACCAAATACACAACTAGAGCGCTGATCTTAAACAATGGTATGTTCAATCACCATAAGATGAAACCTACAAAGGCTTTGAAAAATACATATCATTCCAAAGCCTTTATTACCATATCGTACATACGATTCTGCTTCTTTCTCAGGTCACACGTAAAATTATAGTCCCCACTTCGTCTCCGAGCACAGAAGAACTTTCAGATCACAAAGGTAAAATAATTGTAACCATAACCCTAAAAAGGAGTCTGATATGAATATACCCTGTTTAATCAACAATGACCATGCAGTCTGATAAAAAAGTCAATCATATTCAAACATCATAAAACAAATATTACCCAGTAATAGGTTTTGTAAAACAATAAAAAGAATATTTCATTTAAGATTATGTGACTCTCTTCCACATTCAACCTAGCATTTTGTAATTCTGCACAACATTCTTGAGTATAGCTCCTTTCCTTGAAAAGTATTTAAAGAGCATCCATAACCCATAGACCACTTTCTAGAATGTGATTAAACTCTTGTCTAAACTCTATATAGTCATCATAGGTGGATGACAATTCTATCACGTTACCACAAGTGTGGCCAATGGGCCTCCTCTGGAGACCATCCAAGGAACAGAATGTAACCCTGATATCTGAGTTACAGAGAATATCTAATCCTGTACAGTACCTAAGGAATCTTCTCAGCATGCCTTGGTTTAATGACCGCAAGTACTTCTTCAGGTACGTTGATACCGCCCGCTCATTGGGTGAGAGATCCCTTGAGAACTCCAACTTGTCAATCACTTTTTTCGATGTCGGATGCAGTGAAGCATATATTTCACTTAAGCTTTCCTGGGTCAGCTCATTCTGAAGGTTTTGAAGGACTGGTCTCATGCAGTCAGCAATGTACATTGGCTTTTGGATGATTTCCTTATGGCCCAACTCTGAAAGGAGACAGCTGAAGTTTTCGTTTGTTGGTACCTTTCGACAATCATAGCCACTCAGGATATCAATGAGCTCTTCAATGTCTTCGGGGAAATTACTAAGTGCTGATTTCACGACTTCCTTTTCTGATTCTGGGAGCAAACTTAGGAAGGCCTCCACCATGTCACCATTACAGAACGTGGATCCCCAGATTGCATTAACCATAAAGTCTTGTGTCAACCTGATGGGAAAGTACTTGTGGTCCCACCAGCCTTTTGTGATGATGCGTCCTAGTGTCTGCCATTCTTTCTCCCCATAATCATGTCTCAAGACAGGTATCCTTGAAGAGTCTCCACTTGTCATCTGTTCATACACCTCATCCCAAAATTGGGTTATGGCATCCTTATATACTCCGTTACCCTGGCCCTTCTCTAGATTCCCATCATGGAGAATCATATGGACAGCAATATTAGCCTTCAGTATGCTTTCGTCCGAAAAAGCATTCATCATATCTGTTATTAAATAACTTCTTCGAATGAGGAGAACTTCAAATTGTGTTTGGTTAGTTGGAAAGTCATTTGTCTGTCCTTCAACCAGCTCTACATATACAGTTGGAAAGTCATTCATCTGATCTTCAGCCATAGGAATCTGCTGGTCTGCTTGTTGTTCATGCTGATGTTCTTCATGCACAAAGGTTGATGGCTCATCAGTAATGACTTCAGCCAATATCTGTTCAGCTGGCAATGAGTTAACTGGGTCCCTAATCGTGACATCGAGCTGTTCCTGCGTTGGAGTAGAGTGCGATGGCCCAAATGAAATAGTTGGTGAGTCTGCAAGTTCCTTCACTCCCGAAAATAAGTTGCTGGACTTGGTACTGTCATCTTCCAGACAACATACAGATGAAGATGAAGAGTGGGTGCTTGTAGAATGTTCACCAGAATTTAGCAAAATTTCAGGCAAATCAGCTTCACTACTACTTGTATCATATTCATGATCCCTCACATGAACCGTCCTCCTCTTCTTGACCTTTGACTTGCCCTTTGACTTGCCCTTAGATTTGTCATGCTCCTGTACTTTGGACACTGTGCGCAGGTAAAACCTAAGGGTTGGCATTTTTGATCTGCTGTAGAGTTGTCCAACATCTCCTTCAAGAGGCTGCTGTCGAAAGTCCACTAAGGAGCATTCAAAGTTTTCTTTTTCCCCTTTAGCTGAAATGCCATCCGGGAAGAAGAGCTCTTCTACAATTTGTAGCAGTTCAGCAGGCTTGCATAGCTTAGACACAGACAGAGATCTGATGCCTCCTCCGTTCGTCTTACGTACCTGCTTGTATCTGCCTAACATATGATCAAAGTCCATCCATCCGACATCTATTCTTCTGTCCAATCTTTCAGCATTTTTGTTCCCTAGCATTTTATGAGTTCTCCCATAGGAACAACTTGCAGAATCTTCATACCCAATACTATTTTCACCATCCTCCCTATCTCTTTTCATCCCCAATTTCTGTCTAAGTTTACAGAGAAGCGAGTCTTTTTTGGAAGACTTTGATGAGCTGGTAGACACTTTCTGAGTGCTTTCTTCTGAAAATTTGCGCAGTGCTAGTCTATCCCCCAATAGTGGCACAAACTTCTTGAGCTCATCCTCATCCATCAATAGCAGAATGGAAGCAACAATCTGTAAATTACAAGAAGGTGAGAGAATACATATGAAAAAGAGCTAATTTTTTTCAGCAAAAAAGAGCAAAAGGCTAATTGAGGAAAGGCCAAAACAAAGAAGCATTCCATGTTAACCATGTGCAAAATGAACGTCACTGACAAAGGTGGGCAAGATTTGTCCTGTGCTGTCTTTTATATTTACTTGATTGCTGCATGTGTTATACCGGTTAATAACTACACACTGTCTCAAGAAATGCATTCAAACTATGTATTCAAAGAAACATATTATAAAATTTAAACATCAAAAAGCTTTACCTTTATGCTTTACAATTTCCTTAGCTATACCAGGGCTTGATATTAGCAGGCGCCCGGAACACATGGGCGCCTAAAATTCAGGTCTGGGAGCCCAAAAGTGAACAATTTCAATACAGAGCCCAATACAAGGGGAGCCTGGGATTTAGATCTGGACCCTTAACCAAAAGAGTTAGTGTGGAGCCCTGGCTATACAAATGCAAATGTTTCATGTTTATTTCATGGATAAGATATATCATACCACTCTGATAATAACTGCCCCCAATACAAGCCTTAGGACACTATTCCCGGGGGGGGGGGGGGCACTTCCATTACAAGGCGGACACCATGCTCGTACAGAAAAGAACATTAAAAAGGGGTTGTTTTTCACAGACAATGTATGCGCATACAATGAAAAGGGTATCAAAATTGACAAAATCAGGGAAAAGGGTATACTTTTACAACAGCTAATTTACTTGTTTAGAGTGGGAAAACCTGACAAAATACTTGTTTGGGTATTCTGAGATGAAGTCTAATTACTTGTTTAGGGTCCATTTTGAAAGTTCATTTACAAGCATGGTGTCCAACTTGTAATGACAGAGCCCCCCCCCCCCCCCCCCCCCCCTGTAACAGTCGGCACTCCATAGTTTTGGGGCGCTAGCGCTTCATAAAAACAAACCAAGCATGCACATAAATGTTCGATGATTTACGAACAATGCTCGCCAAGGAAGCCATCAAACCTTGAGCTTTTCATCAGTTTAACGATATGGGAACAGTATAAGGCTGTAACTGTAACAAGATGTGCATCAAGTTGAAAGTAAATCGGTCTGTCTTTGATGTCAGCACTCAGCAGGCACAGTGGTAAGCTTACATATAAGTGCCTCACTGTAATATGTTTATTCCATTATGATGTGTGGTTCATATTTTGAGCTGTGTTAAATTAATCTTATTATAAACCACAAACTTGTTATTCTCGGTGTGTAATCATCATTCTGGTGAAGTCACTTAACAGTATTATTATTTATACAATGTGCATGAAAGTTATTCCAAAGAAACAATACCTCAAGTACAGATACATAAATGGAAGTTTAGACGTTGTTCACGTTAAATGTCAATTTATTATACATGTATTTTGTACATCAAGAAGTTATTTTATTATACATGTATTTCGTACATCAAGTAGTTAATTGAACGATCATTGAAGTAATCGTTGAACACTGAAACGTTTATTTCTAAAAGATTGATACCAAATGTAAATACCGTTATACTTATTATATGTATGTTTTGACTTTGTCATTTTCAGTTCTTACGGCTTTTGACAAGAATAAACGTCTACAAGAAGCATAGACTATACAAGCCAGTACTAGAGAACGTGTGCGTCGTTTTTTGTTCTTCATCTAAGTAAATACATCGGGCAGGCACACCCCCCCCCCCCGACTATTTCAAAAATTGATCTCACCTTTTCTTTTCTCATCTGTTCTATAACACTTCTGTCCATGCCTCTTTCCTCCATAAATGCATACAAATCCATCTTGATAAACCTACAATAAACAAAAAAAAGTGTTAATTAGACATTAATCTAATAGTCATGGAGGTGCTTGTAAAAATTAGATGATTATACATGTAGGCCTATGTTGCCAAGTTATTCTATCAAATTACATAGAAATGTGTATTTCCAAATCAAGGTAATATATATATATATATATATATGCGAAAGAATGAGATAAGGGAACTGACGTAGTGCTTAATTCCTTTCTTTATTTTATACAAGCTTTCGGCCCCTGGCCTTCATCAAGTCTGTACAATCAAGAAATGACAAAAATAGACACCAAATGGAAAATGATAAATAAACACAAACTAAGGTGAACAAGTGTTGTGTGGATGACAGCTGTAATGTCAAAAGAAACTAAGTACAGATATAGATAAACACAATAATAAACACAAACTAAGGTGAACAAGTGTTGTGTGGATGACAGCTGTTATGTCAAGAGAAACTAAGTACAGATATGTCTATATATCTATCTACATTGCTTGAGTGTACTTTGAGGACAAATAACATTTTTTTTATAGCTAGAAGATGGAGTTTTCAACTGGCTTGCTTCGCCCGCTCGCAAAATTTAAAAACGAAATATGGTTCATACTCTAAGTAAAGGTTCAAATCGCCTAAAGTTTTCATTCAAGTAATGAGGATGTACCTCTGTGATATTGTTTGAAAACATTTTTTTGTGGTTAACTGGCAGCAAAAAAAAACAGGTCCTACCCCCCCCCCCCCCCCTGCTTATTTAGTCTATCCTTCACGTTGGAACCTCCAAACCCTTTCCCCGCTCGGTCCTTTACTCCGCGGCCGAGGATATTCGGCATCACTCAACCCCCCAAAATGAAATTTTGCCTAAATGGTTAGGCCTATTAAAGGGATAGTCCACCCCAGGATTTTCTTTAGCTGACGATATAGACCTAATAATACCATGAAGAATGATACAAGTCTCATTAAAATCCATGATCACATAACGAAGATATATCGACTTTTTTATCGAAAATCAGCCGCCCCCCAAATGCAAATGCGTTACATGGGCATGAAACGATTGTGACGTATGTTGCGAGCTGCCTTCTTATTTCGGAGACATTCACTTTCGCTTTCACTTTCATTCATGATTCGTCGTGTCAGTGCGATAACAGTGTACCGCGAGCGAAAGTGAATGTCTGCGAAATAAGAAGGCAGCTCGCAACATACGTCACAATTTCGATACTATCGGTTATTTTTTGGCGATCGTTTTTTGCCCATGTAACGCATTTGCATTGGGGGGCGGCTGATTTTCGATAAAAAAGTCGATATATCTTCGTTATGTGATCATGGATTTTAATGAGACTTGTATCATTCTTCATGGTATTATTAGGTCTATATCGTCAGCTAAAAAAAATCCTGGGGTGGACTTTCCCTTTAAACAAAGTGATAAGTTGCCTAAGTGGATATTAGCCAAAGTGGGTATAGCCCAAATGTGAATTAGACATAAAGGTAATGAGAAAAAAATGAATAATAGACAAAATGATGATTAGACGAATCAAATATTAGACAAGCTGGTGACTAGACAAACTGGCAAACAGACTAAGTGGTGTTAGACCAAGTGTATTAGACAAAATGGGCTTAGCGTAATTGACAATTAGACGAAATGGTAAATAGGCTAAGTGGCAATTAGACCAAAGGGTTTTTAGACGAACTGGTTGTAGAAAAAATGGGATTGGACCATTTGAGATGAGACAGAACGGGCATCAGACAAACTGGGTGTAGAACAAGTGGCAATTAACCAGTGAAAGATACATGTCACGTGAGTCATACCATGTCATGATGGCAAAGAAATAGGGCAATTTACATAGACATAATATACGTACACCAGGAGATTAGGGCCTATACCATGCCCACCGAAAATGACAGGTACAAAATTTCAGGACATAGGGCAAAATGTTCTGATAGCCGACAAACAATAGTATGTGAATTAGACAAAATGGACATGAGACTAAATGGGGATTAGACAAAACGGGCATTGGAACAAATGGACATTAGACCAAATGATCATTAGATTCATTGGCATTAGATTGAATGGACAGACCAATTAGACGTTAGACTGAATGGTCATTAGACCAAATGGAAATCAGACCACATTAGACCAAATGGTCTTAGAGTTTAGACCAAATGGCCATTAGACCAAATGTACTTTAGACTAAATGGAACGTAGACTAACTGGTCAGTAGACTAATTGATAAGTAGCCTAACTGGTTATTACTTTAGACAAAATGAAACTTTGCCTAAATGGTTATTAGACAAAGTGATAAATTGCCTTTTTTGGATATTAGCCAAAGTTGGTAGGCCTAGGCCTATAGCCCAAATGTGAATTAGACATAAAGGTAATTAGACAAAATGATGATTAGACGAATCAAATATTAGACAAGCTGGTGACTAGACAAACTGGCAAACAGACTAAATGGTGTTAGACCAAGTGTATTAGACAAAATGGGCTTAGCGTAATTGACAATTAGACAAAATGGTAAATAGGCTAAGTGGCAATTATACCAAAGGGTTATTAGACAAACTGGTTGTACACAAAATGGGATTAGACCATGTGGGATGAGACCAAACGGGCATTAGACAAACTGGGTGTAGACCAATCGGCAATTTACCTGTGATACATATACAAACTATTACTAAGTTTGAAGACCATAATGTCAAACCCCATGCGTAATATAATAGCTGCTCCATTCATTAACCCTTAATACTAGTCCTAGCACGTTTTAGCCGACCCGGTTCTTAAAGACCAGACTTAAGCACCACATGCTTTGGCCTTGAAATATTGTGCCTTAGCCCCCCATATTGACGATGGAAGCTAGATTTTTAAATGTTGACATTGTTTTGGAATTTCACTACTGAACTTAGATCATATAGATGTGGTCACCGTCAGTGACTTTTTCTCTGTGTGTAATGCAGGCGCGCCGGAAGCAATTCTGGATTGGGGGGGGGGGGGCAAACATCCCAGGGGGCTCCTTTTTTGAAGGGGAGGGGGCTCAGTGGCATACACAGGGGGGCGATACGACGCGTAAAAAATTTCAAAGAAACTCGAAAGCGAGGGAGCGAAGCGAATGAGCTGGTTACGAGCACAGGTATAAATTACACATAATTATAATCTTTTATTTTGTGAGCAAGCAAAGGGAGCGAGCGAAAATAAAACATTTTTCGAAGTTATATACATTTTCTTTCCAACTCTTCTCCTCTTTCTTCCTCTTCCCTTTTTTGGGGGGAAGGGGCTTTTTTTTTTTTGGGGGGGGGGGGGTGAAAATGCATTTTGCCCCCCACCCCCCCCCCCCCCCCCCCCCCCCCCCCCCCCCCCCCCCTCCTCCGGTTCCGGCGCCTATGATGTGATGTGTTGATTTGCATATGTGTTTTGATACTTAAGTGCCCTCGCGTGTGAAAATGTGAAATTATTATTTGCGGTCGAATGACGTGCACTTTATCCAGTTTGATGGAAATATCGCTAAAAAATCAGAGTTATTTTGTTGTTTTTGTTGCTGTTCCTATTTTCTCAAGTCAAGAGGAGCAACAAAACTGAGTGATCCATTTGCTATTGTTGCTGTTGCTTTTTTTTTTCTTTTTTTTTTTTAAGAGAGTAGATCTAGACCTAATAAAACTCGTTTGGTAAGGTTTTAGGGATTTTGTTTTGCAGTTGAAGAATAAATGAAGTAATATGCAGTTCCCAGACCCAGTGCGATCTGATAATTAAAATTTGCACGAAATAGCATTAGCAGCAGAGACCATCCAGAGTCATGAGACCCTCTAGCATAACCCATAGGAAAGAAATGAGCCTGCCGCATACTCCTGCGGCAGACTTGCCGCAGATCTGCAGCAGACCTGCCGCAGACAGTCATCTTTTTCACATGCAAATTAGTTTTGCCGCAGACTTGCCGCAGACTTGCCGCATACTCTTTCAGTATGATGAAGAGTCTGCGGCAGGTCTGCCGCAGACTTGCCGCAGACTTGCCGCATACTCTTTCAGTATGATGAAGAGTCTGCGGCAGGTCTGCCGCAGACTTGCCGCAGACTTGCCGCATACTCTTTCAGTATGATGAAGAGTCTGCGGCAGGTCTGCCGCAGACTCTTCGTCATGAATATTCATATCTCACATAGACCTGCGGCAGACCTGCCGCATACTCTTTCATATCCAGTACGTGGCATTAAAGTATGCATGTAGAAGAACCAGTGATAAACTGATTGATACTTCATAATCGATATTGGCAATATCGATATTACCAATTAGGTAATACCAATATATATCGTTATTACCAATTAGGTATATTCTATTCTCAATTGTATTAACTTCATCACATTGATCATTTGAAGTGTATTCAAGAGTAACATTTAAAGTGACACAGGCTCGTACACATATATATACTAAATATGTATATTGTTTCTTGGTTAGTAATCATAGTTTCTTGGTTAGTAATCAATATATCTATTGCTTAAACGTGAATGTAATTGTAACATGATCAGACAAAATAATCTATTGGTTAATAATGGCAAAAGGAAAATAGAAATCACAAAAATGATGTGCATTAATTGTCTTAATTTGCTTAACAAATCATGATAAATGTATTTTTCTGTCACACGTGTAAAGTAATAATGAATATGCATGAGATGATTGGTTTCAATTGGCCCTATTAGACTTTAATGGGATTTCCTGTGGCAGACCTGCCACAGACTGTTCCTGTGGCGTACTGATCTGCCGCAGACTGTTCCTGTGGCATACTAGTATGCGGCAAGTCTGCAGCAAAGTTTCATCCTGCCGCAGATCTGCCGCAGACTGTTCCTGTGGCATACTAGTATGCAGCAAGTCTGGAGCAAAGTTTCATCCTGCCGCAGATCTGCCGCAGACTGTTCCTGTGGCATACTAGTATGCGGCAAGTCTGCAGCAAAATTTCATCCTGCCGCAGATCTGCCGCAGACTGTTCCTGTGGCATACTGGTATGCGGCAAGTCTGCAGCAAAATTTCTTTCTGCCGCATACTTCGGCATACTCTTTGCCGCAGACTAAAAGTCTGCGGCAGGTCTGCGGCAGATCTGCGGCAGGTCTGCGGCAGGTCTGCGGCATACTTTTCACTTTCCTATGGGAATAGGGCCCTATTCCACAAGGGGTGTCTTGCAATCGGACTAAGTTAGGTCTCCATACAGTCAGTACACACACAAAAAAAATCAATATAGATCTAGAGCTAGACCCTGGCCTAGACTATATTTCATTCGGCGATAGTCTACAGTGTAGATCTAAAAGTAATAGACCTAGACTCTAACTATTAGAGCTACAGACTAGACCCTATATCTGCTCCACTGAGACTAGATTCTACATCTGGCTTCGCCGTATTCTTCTCGAAGAGAGCTAAAAAATAAAATGTTCAAAGACTCATCCAACCAGACGGATTTTTTTCTGATTAGGTCCAGATCTAATGAAGTTAGACCCCAGCCTAGGTCTAGTCTAGTCTATTTAGATCTAGAGTCTACATCTTAGTTGCTGTTACTAGTGTCACTGATAGTGTTAGACCCCAGTCCCCTATCTTATCTAATTCAGTAGACATAGACCTAGATCTAGTCTAGATTCTAGAGCTACAGTCCTACTCCTAGTTAGTCCTAACGTTAGTCCCCTAAAAGGCTAAAGTTTGGGGGACTAACTTTAAGTTTAGGGAACTAACGTTAGGACTAACGTTAGATCAT